GAAAACTCATCTTCACCACCAACTGTTTATATCGTTATTCCAGAGATTCGAAAAGGATACCACACAGAACCTAATTTCTAATGTTTTTAAAAAACACTCTAATACACTTAATTACAAAAGCATATGCTGGAAGTAGGCATATGCTCATTTCTCTGTCTCAAATTCTAATCAAATACATTGCAGTAGGAACTAGCTATGTTAAAAAAAATCAAATACGCATTTTGTATATATGCTTTCGCCATTTTTGTCAGCACAAAAAATGGGGATTTCTTTTTGGTTTCTTCCTTCACATGTTTTTAGTACTTTAAAATAAATACTTGTTCTCAGCATTTGTTGATTTCAGAACACAAAAACTGAAAAGTAAAGCTCCAAGGGTGACACTATGAAACAAAAACTCACATGACAGATAAATTGAGATTTCAAATTTTTTTGTCTCTTTTTTGCTTGTACCATAGACTCCAAGAGTGCTGAAGTGCTGAGTGGCAAGCATGAATGTTAAAACTATTTCTGTGGGGGGGGGAGGGGGTAAATAATTTCTATCTTTTGGGATGATGTACTGCTGTTTTGTGACTGATTTTACTAATTTTGAATAAAACTGTAGACCATATGGAAGAGGCAATATACCTCATTGCACTGTCATTGCCACCACTTCAGTGACAGAAATGCTGGAGTTCTTTGATGCCAAACACATCTTGAACACCATTACGACTCTTTGTTTTATGTGCTATCCCTGGGTGCCAGACTTGGGAATGTTTGCTAATCCTAATTAGCAATGGTTTGCTAATCCTGAGGCCACATGATGGAAGGGCACTACACAATGGTGCCTGAAGCTGCAGCAGGAGTGTGCTTGAAGGTTTGGGAAGATGAGCTACTCTGAAGGACCAGAAGTTTAAAAATACACAAATAAGAAATACAGTCATTCTGAGTTGTCTTCTATACAACATGCTTTCTGAACCTTGATCACTACCTACACGAGTCTTCCACTGGAAAATCTTAAAGAAAGTTAAAAGTGAAATAACTACCAAGCTTGCGGTCAAGACAACTGGAAAGTGTTCTTTTGGGGGACACAAATATTCATGCTGAATGAAAACAAATAATTTTTAAACAATCCTGCATGTTTGGACAACTCCAGTCTGCACAGCTTTATGCTTTGACTGTTTTTTGCAGAGTTTGATATGAGTTCTTTTCACATGAAAGACATGAAAATAATGTCAAATCCACCTATTCTCAAATATTCCAACTTCTACAATATTTGGGTGTCCTGTGGTTTGTTGACAGGTGACTTAAAAGTACAAGTTTTCTACAGTACAAAGTTCATAGCAAATTTTATATGATTTACACTATTATTCAAAGCACTGCTTTTTTGTTGGGTGAAAATTAAATTAGTCAATAGCTAACATTCAATAATCATGACACCAAGCTGAAAGAAAATGCATCAGCACTAAATTAAAAAAACCCAAAAAAACATGGCTTAAGTTTGTTCTCTAGTGCTCCCTGCCTTTATGAATTAAAATTAATTCAATTTCTTAAGATCTTAAGTCTTACAGCTACAAAGAAAAAGAGTATACTGTGATAAGGCTCAATTCTTTTCCATTATTTTCCTCCTTCACTTTTGGAAACCTTTTAAAGTGGCCTAGTCATGTTCAAATCCTTCTGGAAATGCTTATTCATTTTTATCAGCTCTTCATGGAAACCTCTTCATTTATATCAAGCTGTTATAAGTCGCTAGGATAGAAGAGCACTGTGAAAATAAAAAAATATTATCATGGAACTGGAAGCTTGACCTTGAAAACATACAAATAAAGGACCTACTTAAAGACAACATATAAACCAAAACTAAGATCTACCAAAGGCTCTAATGATGATCAATCTGTCACCACCCCCCACTCCCCCCAAAAAACCTGTGAATTAAAAATCTTAAGATTGCAAAGATAAAAACAGAGCAATAAAGATTGTTTATCAGCCACTGTCACCTAGTTAGATAACCCTTAGCTCTTCAATAAGTTTAACAAGATTTTTGATTGCTTGACCATAAGACCAAGAAATATAAGAAAATGTTGGATAGATTGTAAAGCCAAATAGAGCAGTCAGTTTGTCCAACATCTTCTACTCCTGAAGTCAAAGAATATCGTCTCCTTATTCCTGTAGGCAAAGAACTTTTGTTTGAATACTGCAAACTTTTCTTCAAATGTTCCAAGATTCACAATAAAATTAGAGAAGTTGGCCCAACAGATCACAAATACATGCAAGTCAAGGAATGCAGGTCTGGACTGAGATGCTTATGTGGGACTCAGCCAGTTCCTCGTGCTTATTTGACACATAAAACAGTTGGTCAATGACATCATATTTTCCTATCTAACCTCCTCCTTGGTGCTGTGCAAACATTGTGCCATACATATATTACACCAACAGACACAGAAACTGCTAACATTCTCTATCAATGATTTATAGCTATGGCCTAATTACTCAAAAGATAATTACATTTTTGCAATTATATCAACCTTGAAACATAAAATTCATCTAACAACACAGATTATTAGCATGGCCCAGAAACCTTCTTCTTGATTCTCACAGAAGAAAATTGACAGCTTAAATTCTGGCAAACAGTTTTAAGGGATACAATTTAATTGAGAATTATATTCAGGCACTATCCTTACTAAAGGATACTTTTCCTCAAGTAAAATGCAACTCTTTGAAAGCATCATGTGATTCTGCAATGGGAAATTAAAGCAGGTAAGTCATAGACTCTTTTCTTGAAATAAAATGGATCCAATAATAATCATATTTACTGGAAATCAAGCCACCTCCTCATTGAAAAAAGAGGACAAGATAATTTACTTAAAAAATAAAGGATAGCAGAGAGGACTTTTTTCTAAAGTGAAGAAGAAAGAGAATCACTGAGTTCCAGGAAAAAAAAATCAAGAAATAGAAGTATGATGTAGTGAACATTACTCCAAGAAAGAGTAATGAAAAAAAAAAAAATGTAAAAAATGCCAGCTTGTGATATAAGAAATGGTTTTTTCTCTCCCTTAACTTGCCTGTCCATAAATTTAAGCTGTCCAAAGATCTCCTGCTCTGATAAAACTTGGATTCTAGAATAAGAATTCTGCCATAGCAAGCACTGAGTGAGGTAAATACAATACAGAGAAATGACAGATGAAATTAGGTTAAAGAGCTGGAAGGAAGATTTTTAAAATATACTATAACAATGCATCTATTTACAATGAAAACTGATGAAAAATAATTCCTTCATTCCTTACTGCAGTTGCAGAGCCACAATATTTAACTACATTCTGGTTTCTTTTTGATATTTCCTTTTGTAATATTTCAAAGTCTCCCCCTTTACATGTAAAATACCTGTTCAGATCAATGTATCATGACACAATCCAAAGAGTTTTCCTATCTATAAAACACATGAATTTGGTTTTCCACCATGCATAAAGATGTTCCATGAAGACCACAGTTCGTATTTAGGCTATTCTACATCTCCATCATATAAATAAAATAAAGTTTTCTTCATTACGAAAATAATTTAGAGCTGCAATAAAATAAAAACCATCACCTCCAGTCACCCCTTGGCCTATTCAAAATGATCAGCTGTTTTGCTTTGAAGCCACTTACATTGTAAACACTATGCTGCAAACTAAGCTAGCTGGGCCCCTACACATACATGGAGTTACAGTTCTGTAATGAATAGCACATAGAAACATCTTGAGTATAATCTCTTTTCTAAATGTATTCCATCATGTAGAAAGAGTTCAGCACTCAGGCTCAAGTACATTATTCAAAGTTAGCAGACAATAATGCAAGGGGACAAGAGAGCCCCAATTTAAAATAAAAAGGGAACCACTTATGCATTATTCACATATTTAATACTTGTACATAAAAGTATATCTCACTTTTTTTAATTATTTGTCAGTTTCCTACTTCTTTTAAATATAAAGTGTATGAACATCTGTCTCAATGACTAACTTTTCTGTCATGATTCATATAGACAGAGCTAAGGCTCTTGAGTTGTTAGCTCAGTTGGTGCGCGATTAAGTTTATGGCCCCATTCCTGCAATGGCAGCTGCAAATATCTTTTCATTACTATTTGATCAGTAACTTGAGAGCCACAGATGGGACCCACTATGGAAACATGAGCGATTATTATGTAGACCAACAAAACAAGAATGGACACCTTCATGCGGTACCAGCTTTCTTTTGTTTCTCTTTTCCCCAAAACAGCTTTCAACATTTTCAGTAAAACTCCTTTACTGAAAGCTCAGGCTGACACTGGAAAATCCTGGTATCTGCAAACATTTTCTGCTTTGTTTTGTTTTCTAATCGACCTCACCGGAAAACCAGTGGAGAACTTGTGTCAGTTCTGTGACTCTTCTGGACTGAAAGGTAATGTGCTTTCCCAGAAGGACCAGGGGACGCTTTGGTCTCTGAAATGTGAACAGGGCAATTTCTCAGACTCTCCTAAGACTTACTGCCTTTTAGGGGCCACTTCAACAGCAAGGAACCCTGAACGATTGCTCCCTGCCAGGGAAACTCTTCAGACCATTCCCTTCAAGGACTGTGTGCTAGCAGAGGTCAAGGAAAGAAAATGATGGAGGACTATTTTCGTGGCTCTGGTACTACTTATACCAGGACCTCTGTACACAACCATTAACTAAAGCTAACAGCGTTTCGAGATAATAATGCAAGAGCCGTGGAACTCGGAGCAGCCCAGAGCACGGAACTGCACCTGGCACGGAGCGATAGTGGCTCCATCCAGATCCACCTTCTCCAAGGTCACCTCGCTCACAGCTTCTTGCAGGCCCGTGTCTGATGACGGCAAGCGCGGCGGCCCGGTTTGTGCTCCGCTGCTCTCCGCCCACATTTCCCGGCGGAGCTCCCGGGGCGGGGGCCGCGGACCGCGCTCCGCTCGGGCCGGGCGCTGGCAGGCTCGCCGCCCGCGGGGATGCGCGCAGCGGCCCGGGGGCGGGATCGCGTCTCGCTCCCCCCAGAGCTGCGGCCTCAGCCCGGCCCCGCCGCCCGCCTCCCTCCCTGCCCCGCTGTCAGAGCCGCCCGCCCGCGTGGCAGCGGGCACTGCGGGGCGTGCGGCGTCTCCCTGCCGTGGCTGCTTTGGTACTGGGGGACGACAGCTGCGTCCCACGCGGTGTCTGTCCGTCCGCCCATCCATCCATCCATGCATCCATCCATCCATGCATCCATCCATCCATGCATCCATCCATCCATGCATCCATCCATCCATCCATCCATCCATCCATCCATCCATCCATCCATCCATCCCTGCGTGGGCGGCGGCTCGTGTGTGTGTGTGACTGACAGTGAGGCGCGCACAGCGCGGGGCAGCCGCTCGCACGCAGCCCGCCGGGTCCACGCCGGCGCGCCCCGGCTGCGGCAGCCACTTCTCCGTCCCCCGGAGCCCTCCCCGGTGGGGACAACCTCAGCGACCTCGCTGCTCGTCCTCCTCCTCCTCCCTCCTGGCGGGTAGGTTACATTACCTGGTCTCTAGCTCGGACTGGATCTAATCCCGCGGCCGCCGCCGGCTTCTCTCCCGGCCGCGGGGGTGGGTGTGGGAATTAATTTATTTATTTTCCATGAGGTGTCCTCTGCAGCGGAATAGCGGCGGGAGAGCCCGGGCCGGGCGGCAGGGAGGGAGGCCCGGGTGCTGCTGTCCCGGGGGTGCTGGCGGGGAGCGGCCGAGGCGCTTCAGCACCGGCGCGGGGGGGCGGGGGCTGCAGAGGAGACGCCTCCCGGGCTGCCCAACCCGGCTCCGCGGGGCTGGCGGGGGCGCGGCGCCCGGCCGGGGACACGGGGACGGGGCCGGCGCCAGCGCGGGAGGTGGGACAGGACGGGATGTGCTGCGCGGGGCGGGCGGGCAGCGCCGGGCCCTGTGCCCCTGGGGCCGGCCGGGAGCGCTCCCCGCCGCACCCAGAGCCCTCTCGCTGCGGCCGGGGGACAGGAGGGCACCTCGCTTCTGGCAGCGCGAAACGTGTCCGCCCCCCCGTCCCACTCCGATCTCCTCCTCTTCAGCACTGAGGGTGTCAAGTATCTCACATTAAAGGCAGCTTGCGCTCTCTGGTTCATCGAAAGTCTAAAAAACGGTGTATCTGTTTCCTCGTGTTAGGAGAAAAGTAAAAAGTAAATTAACCGAATTCGTTTTGTGCTCAATGCAGGACCTTCGCCTTCTGAAACGGGAACTGAAATTTGGCTCGTCAGCATCGAGTTGCTGATGAAAATCTTGGTCACCTCAGCATTTGCCATCTTTTTGTCAGCTTAAGAAAAAAACCTAAAAACTTATGAGAAGTGTTTTGTACGTATGATAAACATATTTATGAAAGTGACTGCTAAATTATCCATAAATCCTGTCCTTGAGGCTAAAATCCTGTAAGAAAATAGATAAACATTATAATATAATTGTATAATTAAAGCCTTTACCATAATACTTATTCTCATCTAAAGGTTGCACATTAAGTGCAGTACTTAAGTACTGTGAGGAGACTAGAGTAAATATAGTTGTTGACACTGTGTTGTGAAATGTACAAAATTAAATGTTAATATAATTTTTTTAAAGACTTGATTTCAAGCACTTTGTTAGAGCTTTATGATCAGGATCATTACATGTTAGGAACTGAGACTGCCTGTGTATGGACAGGAGGAGAACTTGAACTGTAGTTGGGAGTATTCTAGTTTCCTGAGCTGCTAGTCGAGGAAGGAAAGACTTGAACTTGTGCAGTTTATTTTTGTCTGTTTATTTTCCATTAATAACATTTGAATCCCTTAGCTAGTATCAGCCACAATGAACAAAAAGTTTTGAAAAATAATCTGAAAAGGAGCATGTCACTCCTCAAAAAACCAGAGGCACAAATGGCAATACCTATTACATCAAAAAATCCATCCACAGACAACTGCTGTCTGAAACACAAATTAATAGAAATCATGTTTCTCTGTCTCCTTTTCTTATTAATTGATTTGCTTTTATGTGAGAAGTGACAGGAACTTTTCTATGTTTTAAACTGTAACCATTAAATCAGAAAGCACAGATCTGGAAATATCAGTAATGTAACACTTAAGCATTCCTTCATTCTTTAGAATGTTATTGTTATTTTTTATGTATCATCCATTTCTAGGCCAAGTCTTTCAGATTCAGGAGGGAATACTTTGTCACATGTCTGTAAAGCAGCCAGCCCTCTACAGTCTCTGGGTAGATTCTGGCACTGTACTCATAAGGAACAGTAAGTAATTCACTGGTAGAGAGAGCAAACACTGTTCTTCCTGAAACAAACTGAGCAGCATGGAATCATTTTTGTGACATTGCATAAGCTAAGTAGTACTTGGGTTATGTATCTGAGTCCAGGGGCATTTTTAGGAGAAAACATGGTGACTGCCAGGGCAGCTAGTGGAAGTCACGGTTGCATTAATTTAGGTAGCCATATCAGTCATACTTTGCAAGTATGTCAAAGGAGCCTGTGCCCAGCACCCTCACACTCACAGTGTCTGTCCTGGGAGCAGGTTGTGCTACAGGCTTTGGAAGACCAAGGACCCATGAGGTCTCCACAAAGCCTGTTGGAGGGGAAAACGAACACTAAGCCATGATTCTTGGGCATGCAAGCAAAGAAAGCTTGGGTATTGATGCTCATGGTCAAACTCTTCCAGGCAGGCCCACAATTACAGGGTAAAAAATGTTGAAATTATGATGAAATTTGATGTAAAATCTTTGGTAAAAAAAGCTTCCAGTGCTGAAATCAAAGTGGTATACTTGGCATTACAGCAGTCTGAAGCTATATTCAAACATTTTTTTATGCCCTGAAGAAAATTGTAGGCTATATAGGACCTCAGACAGTTCCTGTAAAATACAAAGCATGTTTACAATGCCCTTTACAGTGAAATAGTAAAGTTTACATGTTGTTTTATATAATTTTTGGAAAGTAACTTTCAAAGAGAGCTGAAAAATAAATACATGAAGCTAGAAATTATACCTGGTTTACATTGCATACTTCTATTTCCTTCATGAATATGCCCTAACAAAAATAAATATATATTTATATAGATATATATTTTTAATTTACAAATGTATATTATATACTGTACACAATAAATTCTACACAGTGTAAAATTTATAATTTTATATGTGGTAAGGTATATCACATATATAGATATACTTATATATATATATATACAACTTATATGTGGCAAGGTATATCACACAGACAGTGTTTGCTGCACTACATAGTACATGCTGCATGCTGTATGTAACAGTGCTACATACAGTACAAGTTGATGTATTCTGTGCTTGTAAATAAATTTGTATTTATATTATACTGCATATATTAACATCTATATAGATATAGCAGATTATATTGTCATATGTTAGCCATTACAGGCATAAACATCTTCTGTATATACCTATGTGCCTCATTCAGCTTCTTTCAATACCTCTTTTCAGACCACTCTCTGTAGGAAAGGTGATCTTAATTGACTCACTGTTGCTGTGTGCTTCATTGCATTTGGTGTTTTCTAGTGGAAGGCAGATTTAGAACATAAGCTAGCTGCAGGTATAACAGTGTGGGATTTGGCCCACAGTTGGCACAAGTTCAGATACAGTATGTTAAGTGCCTCCAGCCTGCTTAAAGTCACAGAAATTACCGTGAGCCTTCAGACTATAAATTTATCTATTAATTCATTTTTTACTTGGACTTTGATTGCAGTGATATCATGTTTTTAAGTGAATACACTCATCTGTGAGTATCTGTAGAGTAAAGGTGATGAAGTGATTTGGTTCTCATTTGCAGGTTGAAAAACCCTGTTGGCATTCTGCATCTTTCCAGTCTTGGTGCACCTTTGTTGTAGGAAGACCATTATTCAAATTAAGATTGTTTAATGAGAGATAGCAATTAATAATTTCTGTGTGAATTTTAAGAAGCTAATAAAGTTTCAGAGCTCTGTGTGCATGTGTGTATGTCTGTGTATGGGAGTGTGGCATTCTGTATTTTTCAGCGAAATAATTGTTAAGAAGAAATTAAATCAACTGTTAAGAAAATATTAAATCAACTAATATGTGTATGAAAAGAACCACCTCTCTGATTGTTAATTTTGTGTCCAGTTGACAGATTTTTGTGAGGTTGTTTATTAAACACTATCCTGTTTTTGTTGTAATGGCTTGAGATTTTTTAGTGTTATTAACATAAAAAACTTTTAAATATTATTTTTTCACTAGGGAAAATGAAAATGCTACAAATGTTGAAACCCTGATGGTACTTTCTGTAACTGTCTCCATTAGCTGTTTGGGTAAGTCCCCTACTGGAATAGTCCCTTTTTGCCACATGCCACTGTCACACAGTTTTAGCTGAATCCAGAATTTTACAGGTCCTCTACTAAGCTTAGTGCTTCTCTGTTACATTACAGGTTGTGTCTTTTTGTCACAGAGTCTGAATCTAAAGAATGCATGTTATGATCACGTGTTGTTCTGGCCTATGTCGGATTACATTCTGGTTACGTTCTATTTTTTCTGCACTGATTTCGGTTCCATAAATACACATCTCAAACTTCTCTCATGTCCATAAGCAGGCTGGTGTGGTATGTATTCTTGTCATCTCCAAGTGATACAAGGGATAATAACATGAGTATTATATTGGCAAATCATCTAGGCCACCTTCTGTAAACTTTATATTAACAGCTAGTGATCATCAGCCTGTGTCTCACTACACCTTTATTCATACACACAGATAGCTCTGTCACTAGCATAACATTTAATCCTTGTCCTGTTAGTGAAAGAGACACATGTACTCACGTTTTGTGATAAAATTCATAGAAATATAATTAGAATATAGAATTCTATGACAATATATAGCCAAAACAGGTCTTTCTATTGAGGTTAGTTTTCTCTGTAACCATCAACCATGGCCCAATCCAATTGTTTTCTTTTCCAGCTCACAGTGACACAGAACACAGCACATTGTAACTACAGGAACAGACTAGACTGTGAAAGATCTCTATCAGGCATCACAGAGAATTTGAGGCAGCTGGCAGTTATCAGCTGAAGTAGTTAGCCAGTAGAACTGTACAAGCTAAATAGATAATTGAAAAGCAATCTGGAAACCTGGGAGAGATAATAAGCCTCTCTTCTAGAAGGGAGTAACAACTCAGGTAGGTCACAAATGAACTCAACTCCCAGATCAGTGCTTTGCCTAATAACACTGAAAATACAGCAGCAGTTCATACCTGTGAGTTCTGAAGTAGTATTGAAATTCTTGTTGGACAGGCAGTTTGGCATATTCAGTTATACAAATCATTATTACAATAGAGTGAAAAGGATTGTACTGCTGTAATACAGATGACCAAAATCCCAGGAGCAGCAAGGCCCTTTGTTAAATTACAGTTGCCAAAATAGAAAACTAGTTGCACACACTTTTTACCATCCATGCTACTTTGTTGATACTGACGTGCAACCTGTAGTATCCCTGCCACACTGACCACGGTTGTCTGTGGGGCAAGTGACTTCTTTTTTTTGTGTAATTTATATTTATATTAATATAATGGAATTATTTTTGTTTTATTTACCATAAGCACAGAGAAGGGAGGGAAAAGGCCAATGTCTGTGAGTAAAATAATGTGTTTATCTTATTAGCTGCATTTTAAAAGAGTCCTAAAGACTTTCTGTTCAAGTCACTCTTATGATTCTCAAATTTCTGACTACAGAAAGTGTGAAATCTTGCATGAACATGCAAGGAAACAGATACAATTTGGTAACTCCTCTTGCTAGGTTCTGATGTCTTGTAGAATTATGTTGATTGTAGGGAAAGAGCATGAGATATTTTTGTGAGAGTGGGCACAGAAAATAAGTTTTTGGCCTTTTACAAAAAAGAAAGTAGCATCTTTCTATCAAAGAAGTGCTTGAATTGATCCACTGCCAACTGTTTATTTTGTTAAACCACTCAGGTGGATCATAGGAAATAACAGTTGCCAGTGTAATATTAATTCTTGTGGAGCTGAACAAAACAAACAAACAAAAACCCCAAACAGCCAACACAACAAAACAAAACAAAAACCAAAACAACAAAAAAAAACCCTTTTGCTTCTCAATTTATTTTGAAAGATGCTTTTAAAAATCTCTCTCCAAAAATTCAGTGCAAAAAATTCTGTACATTTACACTGAAAGAACATAGAGCAAAACACATGCATCACAGTTTTTTACTATATTATTTGCTACAATTATACAGTGGCAGTTACAGTATTAGTTGCTACAGTACAGTAGCTAGGAAAGCAGCATAGTAAATTCACAAAATCCGTTAACAAATATTTGCGTGTGTCCATGTTGCTGGTTGCAGAAATAATGTGATTAATCTGAACAGTCTGTGTAAATCATAAAAAGTAACCACTGCTTTTATGTTTTAGGTATTGTTCTAATATCTGTTTTACTATGGTAGTGGGACGAATTAATTGTGCGCATATGTAAATTCTGCTTCTATGTATTGACTGCTGAGGATGTTTTCCTTTCATATCTCATTCTGTGACTGCTAAACCAAAAAAAAAAAAAAAATTGCAAAGTTTTAAAGTTTACAAATGCATGAAAAGGGCATGTTTGCTGTTTTGAGGCCTGATACATCTTTCCATTATAATCCTAATGATAGATTTCTGTCAGTCTAGGTCCATTTTTTACATCAGTTTTCAGTTTAGATGCAAGCGTACAATTATAAATTACCATTGTGTTGTAAGATATACTTAACACCGTTAGATTACAAAACTTCTTAGGTAGCAGGAGAATGTCCTCTCTGAGTTACTTGTTTTTATTTTCTTTTAAAAGATGAAATAACAAAAGAAATTTCTTTTTAGATAAAATTCCAGAATCTGCCTAAATATGTATTATATAAGAATCCAATATAGCAATAATCATAATCTAAAAAGACGTTGGCATCATGCTGTTGTAAACAGTGCAAATAATACTTAGAATAATATGCAGAGTCAGAAGTAAGAAAGCATCATTCAGAGGGAAACATCCTTATAATTAGGATAGAAACAGATCTATTTTACTTTTTTCTCTCTCTTATGAAGCCTTTGAATATTTCAGTCTTTTTCTGTGCTGTGCTCCAGATTCAACAGGAAAAGTGAAGAATAAATAATTCAGCTCAGGCTCACACTGTATAATTGAGATTTAGGCTCTACTGTAGGAGGACTGAACAGAGGAAGTTCTTAGAAACTCTTTGTGGTCAAGTTCACTAATTGTGCATGAAGGGAAAGATCCTTCATTATCTGGTTGTGCTCAAATATTAAGTCATTGCTCTAAATCTCAGGGGATGAAGGTGTCTGTTCTATATAGACACATGACTTAGATTAACTGTTCAGACATCATAGCTGAGTGTTTCCAAAGCTTTTTGCTCTACCATCAGGAAAAATGAAAAGGCTTCCCCCTAAAGGGTTCTGAATTTCATCATTGAGGCACTTAAGTCCCTGCTTGAGAACTGGCTGCCTAAGGAGCTATATGTAAACCCTCCTGCAGCTATAATATTCTGAATAAGGCCCTTGAGCATAGATAGGTTTGCAGAAATGTTAAGCATCAATAAGCATGGGATCATATTCTGCAGTCAAGGTAACATGACAGTCCAACTTCTAAACAGGTTCACAGAACATAGTGAATTTTTTGAATACCATAAGTACATTGAACTAATCTTCAGTACTTCACTTGTTATTCATTGTGATGAAAGTACTGGAATATATGTTCAAAATCATACATTAAAAGCTTTCACTTCATGTCATTATGTTTTCTTATTATAATCCTTGTTTACTTTGCAACTCACTTCTGGGATTACAGAGTGGGTAAAACCTTAGAAATAGAAGTATGATTGGACTAATAGTGCTTGGCATGCTTCAAAACTGTAAAAATCATCAGTATATAATGTATTTACTTTCTTTTTTGATTATGTCAAAAATGTGCATCTACATTTCGGGGGACAGATGCAAAAAAATTTTTCTCCTAATGCACAAATCAACAGCAGGAAACTTTTGAAGAAGAAAACACACAATATTTGCATGTGTGGTTCTAATGTCTTCTATAAGGAAGCAGAAATCAACTTTCCATTTGGGGAATGTCTCAGATTGCTAATCCAAACCCTGTTATCCCAGCAAATGGCAATGGCAATTTGTTTGCAGGTATTCACATATGTCCTCTTATTTTTTGGTGATTTTCTTGTTCTTTAACAATAAGGCCTGATATAACTTCCACTGGTACCCCAGGATCACACTGTTTTGTTTTGTTTATTCCACAAAATCAGTAATAATAGTTTCTTTTTTCCCATTTACATTTTTTTGTCAGTCATTGTCTCATTGTCAGTAATGTCGTTGGATGTACAAGTCTGATACTGAATTGATATTCAAATACCTGCTTCTTATCAAATAGTTTGAATTCTGGAACATTTTATTGTGGTCTAGGGTGAGACTTAGGTACAGATTGAGACATCTTAGGCATCTATATGGAAGAGCTCAGGTGTAAACTATATGTGTAAACTCTTGCTCTAGACAAGTCAATGCAATCTGTGGACCCATCTTGGTGCCTTGTGTGCTGATGAACTGCTTTGCAGATGTTTCAGAGGGAACTGAGTTGTTCTCTAAACTCCATCTGAACACAGACAAAAATTATGGCATGATGTGAAATGTACTGTCAGTTTCTGTCTTGCAGCTCTCTACAGGATGAAATTCCCAGAAACTGGTAAAATACATTTAAAATACATATTTTAACCACTAAGTTCCTGGAAAAAAAAACAGTGAAAAGAACTTTCTCCCAAAAACAAATCAGGATTCTGTAAAATTGTTGATCTTCACTTGTCATTTGCTGTGACTCGTGCACATCATACAACAGTATCCAAAGCTATTGGCCAGGTAAAGCAATCTGGATATATTTGTGTGCTTTTGTTCTGAAAATGTGTATCAATGTACATCTTGGATCTCTCAGGCTTATTCAATGCATTTAAGATATTAACAGGATTATTTGAGTTGGTAACCTGAAATAATCTGACACTGCATTTATTGATGCAGAAGATTATTCTGAAATGTGTGTCCAAATGTCTTACTTACTTTACAGTTCTTATTAATAAAATACTTTGCTTTAAACATATTTTTTTTTGTTTCCTTTGTAGTGATTCTGTCTACTGTGGAGTCATTCATCCCTTATCCTAGTGGTTTTTTGCTTCTCAGCACCAACACAACAGGTTTTTTTAGAGTATTGGGTTAATCTGAAGGTCTCCAGCTAATATACTATGAAGCAGGTTGGAATCTAAGCATAAAATAAGATCAGAAAGCAATAGCAGAGGACACAGTCCAGGTTATGGTCAAACTAAGGTTACACAGTGTAGCTACTGCCCCAGCTACACAGACAGAGCCTAGACAGCTGCAAAGCAGTGGCAGCCAGCCAGCAAGCCTGAATAGATGAAGATAAGGCCAAGAGGAGGAGGACTTAAATCTCAGATATTAGCTGCTCTAATATAAAATGAACAAGCTATATAATAACCTGACATACCCAGAAAATAACTAGAACAGCTAGTTGGAAACAAAGTCCTTGAAGTTTCTTGTGCAACTTTTCAAATCGAAATTATCGTAGCCAAATTACTTAAAAATATTAGCTTTTAAGATGCACTTAGTCCTAAAAATTTGCATATACTAGGTACATCATATACAGTCTTTGCCCTCAAATACATCATAAACTCAGTAATTTATTTATTTTTTTTTTTAATGTGAGGCCATTAAATTGAGGCTGTGACTTCAAAGGCACATTACAGTTTATGCAAAGGTAATCCTGGTTTTCCTTCTTTGGCTGGGAATTAGAATCTGTTATCCCAGCTATACTGTTTTTAGTATCCTAACTAACCCACTCTTCATGTGGGCTAGTTAGGATACTCTGCTGTGTCTTGTGTACTTTAATTATTCTTTCAACAAACAAAAACTATTTATGAAAACTCCATTTCTCTCTGAAAAGTACATTTTTCAGATGTAATGTGTAAGCCGTGCTATCTCTGCTGTCTGAAAAAATTATTTTTCCCATTCTAATTATAAAGGATATTATTGCTTTGTAGGATAGTTGCAGACCCTGACACAAAGATATGGCAATTGAAAACCAGGCAATTAAATAGCTCAAAAAGGAAGAAAAGAAATGCAATTCAAAAAGATCTATGCAGAGAACCCATAGCTGTCTGCAACCCTCCCCATTACTCTGTGTAGGTAGTACTCAGGATTAGCTATGGAAACAAATGATGTCAGAACCAGTCCTCTAAACCGTTTCAATTTTCCAATAAGAAAATATGCTGTAGAACTGTGGTGTGGTATTGGATATGAAACAAATTGTTTGGGGTCTTTTTAATGTCAATAGAATATTTTTTTCATTAAATTTTAATTCATCTGTGCTGTATACTGTGCATATTTTGTTTGCTATTAAATAAAAAAATCTTTCCTGATAAGGACATCTTTTCTGAAAGTGATTCTTAAAATAGACTAGCTTGATGCTGTGGATAGTGCTTTGACATTGAAGAAAACCAGTGAGATGCAAATAAATTCTTGCAAGGCTGGAATTGATGCCTGTATACTTTAGAAATGGTTTGACTCATTAGTAGATTTATAGGCTGCACAGAGAGCTGGATCTTTGAAAGAAGTCAGTGAATTAAGGGCAGACTATTACCCTGTAGCTCCCATTAGCCTGCACATTAACCATCTAGATCTGCAGATATTTCTGTCCCATACAAATCACTGCAATAATGGGTATAGGTTTTATATAAAGTCATCATGGCCATAAAATGGAATGTAGGAACATTTTACCACTACTGTAGTTACAATGGCCAAAAATAACCATACATTTGAATACAGCTTTGTCAGAATTTTTACTCTCACAAATCTGAGGTAGCTGAATATCAGAGAGTTAGGTTTCCTGGTATTGTTTGGTTTGGTTTTTTTTCAGTAATAATTCATAACATCATTTAACTACTTTCATAGAAAAATACAATTTGACAAATCTGATAGAAAATATACCTGCTCTTGGCTGAGGGCAAAGGAATGGCTAAGAGGACCTGTCATCTCTGGTTGCAAGCCACTCTTCTTATCCTTTCTCTTTCAAACAGTGATGAGTTATGGTGACAGACACAGTGAAATAGAGCAGCCCCTTCCAAAGGGTTATTTATAGTGTTCTGTGTGCAGCAGGGGCATAGGAAAGGTCAGCAAGGTCATGAAGATTCCACATTGAAGAGTTTCATCATGGGGAAGAACATTTGCCTGTGGCATTTTGAATTTCAGTTACTCTACATGAGATTCATAAAACCAAATGAAGCTTGCAAAGTAGTAGCTACTTTGGAGCTAAGCATCTGGGCTTATTCATAGTTATTAGAAATAGGTATTTGAAGGACACAGTTAATTTCATCAAAAAGGTCCAAAATGGGTCAATGCAATTGTGTTCTGGAGCTACGCATTTGTCTCTATTGACTACAAAGACAAGACAATGTATTGGTACAAGTATAAACAGTGGCAGTTTAAAAATCTAAAGGTAAATGAAATTTATTTCTGACTTTTCCCTCATTTGCATATTGCCATTCATTTTCATGTGAAAAGGAATCAGTGGACTCAAAACAGATTTACCATAATGCCGTTAGATGATTTTTGACCGTTCAATAGCTAGTTATATCTGCCTTATGTTCTTTAGTACAATAACCTGTCACAGACTTCAAATTTTGGGTGATACTTCTGTATTATATAAGCAGAAGTTAATTATTTAATAATAATATTTAATAAGTTAATTATTGTTCATTAAACTGAAAATTAAAACCAAAAAGCTATGCTATGCATGCTAACTTATGAATTTCCAGGGTAATAGACTTTCTTCTACAGTCTTCAACATTGAACAGTGACAAAAATGGAAAAGATGAAGATTGCAATATCTTCCCTGATTTTATTTTAAATGCAATGAAAGAAATTTCAGCCTCATCCTGCCTGCCCACCAATGTATGCACCTAAACATAAAGACAAAACTTTGTTGGTCACTTCACCTAACTTCAGTTTGCTGAAGTACTCCAAAGTTGCTAACATGCTCTATTTGAAAAGTGTGCTTTGAAAGGATCCTGTAGTGTGGATATAATATCCAGCAGAAGCTAAAAAATAGCACAATTTTGCTGTACTTGCATTTTTACATCTTCTTACAAATGTTATGAATCCCCATAAAACTCTGCAGGAACAGGAGTGTTTTATTCATTGACAAGCCCAAAGCTACGGCTAATGAACCCAGGCCAGCAATGCAGCTGTCATCAGCTGAGCTGGGATATTCGTGGAAAAGATTTTTTTTATGCGTTCAGCATCTCTTTGCTGAGTGTGTTCAGACTTGGCACAGGTAGAAATAGCCAGTGTTGAGTTATTTTCTGCTTTGATAGGAGATACTTGTGTTCAGTGAGTTTTTTCTCCCACATACGACAGCTATATTCTCAGTTTCTTATAGACTTCATAAAAATTAGCTAACCAGAGTTACAAAAATACACTGAAATAAGTAATAGTCATTCAAAAACCTTGCCTACCAGTCTTCTTGTAGTGATATGGATTATTTAGAATTGTCAGATAAAATAAGGCAATGACGCTGAAAAGATGTTTAAGGCAAATTGGATGTATATATGATGAATTCAATTTCCATTCATTTCTCAGTGAGAATTTTTAAAGGAGAAAGTTATAATTATAGTCATGTTTTGAATAAACACAATGAGACTGATTTCTTGTTTATAAACCAACACTCATGTTTTGTTATGCATATATGACTATACTGTTAATTTTTTGTCTCAGAGAAGTGTGTTACTTAGTACTTTTGTCATACATTTCTGTCATTATCCTGAACAAAAGTGTTGAAGATATTGTGGCTTAAAAACAATTTTAAAAGGCCACCCAAACAAGCAGCTCACCCTCCAAGAAAAAAAAAAAAAAAATCTGATGGAAGAAATCTCTTTCTATATTGGAGTAATATTTGGGGTAATTTATTGGTGTTTTTTTCTGAGTATTCATTTTGCTATGGGTATGGTAATTATTTTTATTGTGAATGAACTCAGAAGTGTTCAGATTAGTAAATGAGTGCTTTTCTAAATCTTAATAATGAAAGTTCAATAAGTGATTCTAAAATCACTTCTGACAGATCTCAGCAATAACAGAGGAATATAGTTTTCAATTAATTTGTGTACTTCAGCACATTTATGTCAATGAGACTGATTATATGTTATGGTTGTGCAAAGAATTGATTTTTAAATTTAGCTTCCAAATTAAGCAATAGAAATAATTTTGTTGTGAAAAACAAGTGTTTTGCAGTTGGAGTTTTATTTTTCCACTTTAGTTCTGAGAATAATGAAAAAATAATCACTTAGTTTGAGACTAAAATGTTTTGTGGCCTTGTATAAACAGTTTTCTTGACACACAGGTAAGAAAAAGCAAAGAAGAACATGGACCAAATCCAGAAAAAGCTGCTGGATAAAGCCAAATTTTTCTTTCTGTTTGAGTATTATAACATTTATTTGCACTGTGTACCTTAGATTTAGTTTTCAGTTCAGCTTACAGGAATTAAATCTTAAACTTCTCTGATCCTAAATGCCAAGTTGTGAATGGTTTTGAAAAGAGGAAAATTCTACCATAATGAAGAGAATCCTCATCTCTTTCTCTGCATTGTTGTCAGAATATCTATAGCCCCAGGAGAAATTAATAATTTAAACTATGAAATAAACTGTTTCCTATTCCTACCCTCAGTCAGAAAGAGAACAAATCTGAGTTCAGGCAAGAACCATAATGGGTGGGATGCAGAGCATGTGAAGGCTGGGAAGTTTATGGATAGGATATCCACATGTTGGGGGTACTCCATTTTATATGAGACATCACTGACTCATCACTGAGGGAGCAATAGCTTGATAATATAGGTTCAGAAAACCTTTCCAGAACCACTGTATTTAAAAGCACAAATAAAATACAAGAGAGTTTAAGCTAAAACTGCTCTCCCATCTCTGCTTTGTACCCTGAAGTTAAGATGCTAACCCAGGATCTGTGAGAAAGCTGGGAGTTGACTCATGTACTGCCATATTTTGTATGAATGTCAGGAGCCATAGATTAAACAGGCATAATGGTAGTCCTACACTTGTGTGTATGTAATGAAATTATGAAAATTCTGGTAATGATTTGGCACATTTGTCTTGTGCTCACATCATCTTGAAGGGACTGAAAATGCATTTTGTGGAAGAATTTATACTTTTTCAATTTATCATCATCATCACCATCATCTCTACTCATGGCTCCTCATTTGACATCAGCCTTAGCTGCAGGCCTTCAATAGATGGAGACAGAGCAGAAATAAAAGATACAATCGGCCACACTGAGCACAATAAGTATGTTTGATATGGAGCATGTTTCATTTTGCGTCATGTTACTTAATTACTGCAGTTACAGGAAAGAGGGGAAGAAATATTTCTACTTTGTCAAATGCACCCAGTGTTGGACTTACAGAATAAATACATTTGACTCTAAGAATTGAAAAGCTTAAATGCAGATTCAAGGGGAAAAAAAAAAGGAAAAGAAGATACCGATGCATTGCAAATTTGAAACATGACTGTATGAAAAAGGACGATTTGCAAATACAGCAGTGGCTCCCTGTCACTATGCTTATGGGCTGTAGTGACTTCCTTAACTTTATTTGGAAAGATTTTGTTTTCTTTGTCATGTGTCTCAGTATTTTGTAGACTGAAGAAAGGGACATCAACCAGAATTACATCAGATCCTGTTTCTTGCCATGTTGTTACTTTACCTTCTCAATACAAAAGTCTTTTTGCTCTCTGTTCCACCCTCACATGTAGACTTACACACAGAAATTTAAGAATAAATGAGTTTTCATAATCTGATGGTTTCAGTTTGTGGATGAGATTAGAACCTAAATTAAATCCAAATTAGTAAGAGGAAACAAGAAGCCATTTTAACCTATTACTATTACATAAATTTTTTTGAAAGAAGGAGCATGAATGATGTGAATTATATTTGTTTAAACTAAAGTAACTCTTGATTATGCCATTTTAAAGTTTCTAGGGAAGTCATGAAAGTGTCTTACTGAGACCCTAAAATTTCTTGGAGAGTTAGTGTACATGCACATTACTATCAGAGGTTTATTTCTGTAAGTCTCAGAAAGAGGATTTCAAAGGACATTTTAGGCAATCAAGTTCAATTTTCTACTATTTCCAACTATATTGTTTCAATTATTTTTAAGATTTGGACATCTACTTTAAAATGAACTTTTCTTCCCAGAGTTCCTCAATATTTTCTTCCCAAAGATCCTCATTTCAAATGGATGCATTTTAGAGCTTCTCTTATAAGTGTTATGATCTCTTTCTACTGAAATGGGATACAGTATTAGATTTCTGTCTACTCTCCTTACTCACATATTTATCTTTGCCTTATTTTGACATTGTTTTAAAATTAAATTTTTAAATTAACTTTTTGAATATATGAATATATGAATTAACTTTTTGAATATATGTCTTCTTTTTTTTTATTCAAGCTTCAAGTTTCTCCCTGTAGTTATTGACCTATTAGCTATATATTGACTTGAGAAGTGATAAAACTTATCCATTCAAAGAACTCATGATGTAAATTTATGAGTGAAATATTTTCTTTCACTGCACTATGCAGTTAGATAAAGCTGTCCATTAAGAAATGTATTAACGCAAGTATTTTCATCATTCTATGAAGTTTACCCTGGTTCTTAGTTGAGGCCATTCACAACAGTAGGCAACCATTGATTTACCAATTATCTTGGGATGTCTCATTCAGAGAACAATTTTTGAAACACACCAGAAGAATTTTGCCAAAAGACAAGTAGTTATCCTCTCCAAAGCTAATAATTTCTTGTTCCATTTGCAGAGGCCAGGTAGATTCTCTCCCTGCTTTTTTCCCCCTTCAACTTCCTATGCAAAAAAGAATGCAATTCTTAACACCTTCAGCACTGAATTTCCTACTCCCTGCAGCTATTCTAATTCAGATAGTAGACATTATATTATTTTTATGGAGCAATGTCTTTTAAAAGTGACCTTTAAAAGGGATTTTCTGTGATGCATGTAGATTGAATTTTCTGTTCTATTCTTTCCATACCTGAAACTGATCAAAATATTTCAGAAGACACATTGTCTTCTGCTATTCTGAATCTGGAGATGTCTGTATATAATGAGCCCTTCTTTTTCTGTCTAGAGCTTTGTAGTACTGTCTATGACTGCAGACTTATTTTGTCTTGAAAAGTACTGCCTTCTCTACATTTGAACTCCATTATATATTAGAAACCTAAAGATCATTCCCCAGAAGATCCAATACAGAAATTGCTTGTTGGACAGTCTCATGAAGACTGAACTCTCTGGCAAGAGAGTGTTCAATCTATGACAAGACACAACTGCTTCTTTCAGAAACTGTTGCCTGGAAAAAATGTGATTACTGGGATGCATTCACTTGTCACACTGCTTAGAGGTTGGAGTTTCTTGGTGGAAGGCAATATATATTGGTTTAATCTCTCCCTAGATAATTTATGCACATCACATTTAGTGTAGGATTAAAACCAAATAATAATGCCAACATTATTCACCCACTATGAAACCTATCCAAAACTAACATTTTTAGCTGGATGCTTTGGATATAACTTTCAGCCCCAGCTAAGATATTGTTTCCTTGGGAGGCAGTTTACTTGAGATATGAAAGCTATTGATTTAAGCTTGTTGGAGTTGAAGGGAAAGACATAATTCTCTGCAACATATTTGTATAGTGAGCTACGTTCAAAGGGTAGCATTAGATGTGCTTTAAAAAAGTTGAGCCCTTCTTAATTATATATGGGTTTAGCCTAAGGAAAGAATTTGGCACCTGAATCCAAAATGCTTAATGAAATCTCTTTAAATTAAAAAAATAAAATAAAATAAAAATGAAAACTGATTTGTCAAACTCTTCATGTAAACTATTTCCCTCCAGGCCTTCATACTAAGAACATGCAACTTAAATAGTTAAGCTTTGACAAGTTTAGTGACTTTCTGTATCTGCAGTAACACTGTATCTTCACCCCTGCAACAGCTGGTGACACCTCCTACTTGTAACAGCTCTTCAGCTCTAAAGACAACTGACACAGACTGGCCACAGCCATGGAATATTCTTAGCCTAGGGCCTGTGCCTGGGACAGTATCCTTGATTCCAAAGATACAGTAAGACTTTCCATTTCCTTAATATTTCAGTCAATATGTTTGAAGTAATGAAAGAATGTTGAAGCCCAGAATGTTGTTTCTAGAGCTTGTTACTGAGGGCATCTGTAATGGGTTCTGAGGTGTTATAGACAGGACTTGTTGGTGTATTCAAGGTGGAAGACTTGCTGGATTAGTGCTGGAGGTGGTAGTAGGTTAGCAGGGGATTGCTGAGTGGAGAGAGCTCTGGGAGGGGAAATGGCCCTTGGTTCTTGCAATGCCAAGCACTTTCCAGAACAGTTAGTGGGTACATGTGAAAACCATGCCAGAGAGCATGTAAATTATTAAGCAGAATGAATGGTTGAGTTCAGGGTTTGAGCTTGCTCTCTAGTCCTACTTTATTCAGCAGTGTAGATATAGAGAAATGAGATAAGGTTTTACTACTGGGGTTGTTTTCCCCTAACCCAAAGAATGTTCAAACATGAGTAAGTAAGGAGATAGAAGCAGATAACATCAGACTGGTTTCAATAACAAGGACTGGGCAAAGGTAGCACAAAAGGCTTGATTTTCCCCTTCACAGCTGAAGTAAACTATTCTTTTGCCCTCTACTTTAAATACATGTTTAGCAGATTTTTTTAGATTGGGAATGCTGTAGGGACACCAGAGCAGAATTTCAAATTAGAAGAGGAAACCATATCAAGAGGTGCAAAGAGAGAATTATGAATGTGTTATAGGCCCATAACTACAGAAGTGAGTAAAGAGAAGATTTAAACAGGACTTTCATAAATACAACAGATTGCAATACACCTTCATACTAGGCCCACAATAGATCTTTGGAAGGACTATAGACGTCACTCCTATGGTATCACAGTTTTTTCAGGTATTTGTTTTAAATAGCAGGTCCAAGTAATAAATTAGTCTAGAGATACATCAGCAAAACAGAACAGCTTATTGAATTTTAAAGAGGAACTGACAACCATGTTTCTAGACAATCATGATATCCAAATTTATATCTCTTCAAAATTATTAAAGTGGACATAATCTTTTGAAATATTTTGAGACAGTGTATATATAAAATACAATAAAATGAGAAATACATAGGTACATTCAAAATATAAGCATGGAAATATTTCTATTTTTTTCATTATTTATAATTTTTTTTTATATTATCACTTAATTCTAAAACATAATTTTGTAGCTTTCAAATTTACTGTTCCTACCATTAATATCATTTGTGAGTCTTTGGCTGAAAATTACCATAGTCAATTTTTTAAGGGCAAAAGAACAACAAGAGATTTTGTAGTTGGCAGTTTTCTGAAACAAATAATATGATACATAAAGAAAAAAAATTGAATAATATTAATTTCAATTAATTGTAATTATATTACTATTTAGTCA